CGTATATGTCGCCGGTGCGACGTAATGCCAAGAACTGCGGCCAGTTTTAACCGGATTTCTAGATCAACTCGCTTGTCGTTCCGCATATGTTTCAATCTGTCTCGCAGTAGAAGCCTGTGGTATCGACCCTGCTTTTGATAGTAAACGCGTGCTATCGGCAGAGAACTCTCGATGATGGTGTCATCAAGACATTATCGGTATCATAATTAACATTTCGAAAATTTTTATAGAATATTTCAAGACCATCACACCTACGATGCATCTACGATGCATTTTTATTCAATACCGAATTGACTTCTACTTCGTGAAAATTTGATGAAATGGCATCCTTTTTAGTAATCTATCGATTTTCTACGTTTATTATTTTTTATTTGATCAAAAGTAATTGAATTTATGTTTTCTATAATTTTTGCCTCTATTTACCTCATAGTGTAAGAGGCGACAGCAGTTGCGAGATCAGATGCCGCGAGTGCGGATAACGATCCATCAAAATCAGCGGCAAGGTGCTCCGCGAGTTCTTCCACTTGCGTAGACCATCCTTGACCAGAGCCATTGCTTCCGATAGATCCTGAAACATAAATCCATAAGTTTGCCTCCGTTAATCACGTTCTTAAGTTTTTCTTCATATTTGCCTTCGCTTAGCGTTACGTTAGTGTCGCGCGGTAAATTACGGATACATCGGAAAAATTTTTAAACACATTACAGCTCTTATTTTATATACTTGTTTACTTTATATAAATAATTATAGTGACGAGCAATGGACAATTTTCAATTTTTACGAAAATAGTGACATATATCGGACTTTTTTTATGCTGTGAAAAAAAGAGTTCGAGCAAAGGATTAATATAAAATTTAGTCATTTCATCGTGGTGTCTTTTTTCTGTAAAAAAATTTTAAGTATGTCTTGCTAAAATAATCGTGTACAAAAATTAATGATTGAGATCACTATGCTTTGCTTCGTCATCATTATCGCATTTGTGTCGCTCTCTTTTTCCACACTATGCGCGTTCAGAATAATTAGGACGCAGTATGAAACTCTTCTCGCATTTGCTATCGTACCGCCTTGAGCACCGTAGTAACCGACGTGAAGTTGATGATGCATCGTGATCGGCCTATCTCTCGGCTCCTGAGCGCCGTGACGGCGCCGGTTCTTGGTAGCGATGGGGGGATAATGTCGACTCTGCAGCAGCGACACCCTCGATCTATCGACTTCACACCACTTCATCCTATTTCGACCGCGAGAATCACACCCGGGCAGGAACACACTATCAAAAGCTCACTCACTACGTGCGTGCACCTTCACGAAGTAGCCCGCCAGTCTGGCGAGCTAGTATCGGGCTCCTCTCTCTCTTTCTCTTTTTCCCTCTTTTCCTCTTTTCACAGCTAATCTGCGTGATACATTGTGCATGTGTGCGTATTCGAGTTATCAGCTACGAAATGACCACGTGGGTGAAAAGGCGTCGGACGTAAGAAGACGGGGCGCAGAAGTTTGCCGATCAGTCTTGAAGAGATCCCCAAAGTGATGTCACTCAATCACCGCTGAACCTTGACCGCTAATCGACAGTGGCATTATCGTACGCGAATATCACTTTGGACAATTACGGCGCTCTTTTATATTTGTTAACGACGAGCTTTCCTAAATACTTCGTGCAAACAAAATTTAGCGGCGATATATATCGTGTACTTGTCAAAAGTTATTGCATTGTATCGATATTAAATCAACGAATTGTATGTCAAATTGTAAAATCAACAATTGTACGTAGAACTTTTCAATAAGCGCAATCTACTTGCATTATTGCTGGATGTGAAATGCGTAAAAGTACTATAAATCATCTAGAGACAGAAAAATCATTTGCAAAATTTATATTTAGTGCAGCCTGTAAATTTACAGAAATTTAAGTCTTTAAAGAAATTTAAGTTTTTAGAAACTTGAAATTAACAGGAAACAAAATAGATAGAAAAAGATCCGAAATATTAGAGAGAGTAAAATGGAACTCATAGCTACGACAGTGCATGAGTGAGGGGGCCGTTTGGTCACGACCTTTAAGAAGATATATCTACGTTAACGGCTACATGATAATGATGATCGACTTCGCGCCATTGCACATTTACAAACAATATACTTTTCATGTTTTATACCGATGGAAAATATTTTTCGCGACAAACAAGTTTCGAGACCATTGTTAAAATTGAAATTTTCGCGACAAACAAATTTTAAAACCATTGTTAAAATTTAAATTTTCTCGTTGAAATATCCGTAAACTAAATTTCACATTTCCTTTGATATTTACCTATTGTTTTCAAAAACGGCAGTTTTTATAAGCGCATTTATTTAATTTTACAAAATATAATATAGATTTTTTCTCAATTTTTGCCAATCTAGAAATTGTAGGAAATTAAAAATTACTAAATTATTTTGTTATCGACTATTTCAATATGATTTTGACATAAACGGTGAACGGAACTAGCAACTTATCATTGTTCTTGATCGCTGTAACAATCTCCGACTCGTTGCTTTTCGTAGAAACACCTCCACTAAGAAGAAATATGTAGAGACCACATTCCTCAAACTTGTTTATTTTTTTATTACGGCAGCTGACCGATATGACGCGCAAGTGAATTATCGAGTCCTGTCTACAGCTGTTGCGAGTACACTGACAATTTTTATTTTTTGATGGAACTGATGCGCGAGCACCATACTGAAAAATCTGCTTCTTCAAATTCACATAGCATCGATAAGCACTACTAATTAAAGATTAAATAATTGATCGTGTGTGGATTAGACTGCACGCAATTCTTAGCATGTAAACATTTGAGAATAGGTATATGAGAAATACCAACCATCTCTTCTGACATGTTTCTTTTCGAGTTCCGCGATATGTTGCAACGGTTCCGTGGAGCGACGTTTCAGATTGTTCTGTTCACAATTCGGGGATGATCCGATAGGCGAGAGTTGTTGCGGCGAGCTGCCGTTCAAGTGCATCTGATCACCGACAGTCGGTGAATTTTTCGGTGAATTGTGCTTATCTTGCCATAAAGAATTTTGTGGACTATGATACCCCAATGTTGTAGTCTGCAACATTAATATTTCGCAATTAGAAAAGAGAGAAATTGGCCGAAAAAATTCTTTTGGAAAAGAAATTTTACTTCTTAAAACTTTAGAAGTGTCAAAGAAGTTAAATAACATTGTCATTTCTAATTTATTTCAAATTGGAAGAAGCATTTACGAGTGTAATTTATCATAATAAATCACATTTGTTGATCATTATTCTACGCACCTGTTGAGAGGCG